CCAAGCACCGGCAAGTAAGCGCTCAGGAGTCCGTTGCGCGAACATGCAGCTTGCCGTTGAAGAAGTGTTCACGAAGTGTCGTGTTTGTTCCGACGGATGACGATGCCCTCAAGATGAGTCTGCCCATAAGTGTGTTGTTGAACAAAAATCCGGAATCGGAGGACGTCTGGATGTCAGGTTTAATAGAAAAATACAGAGCAAGACCTCTAACGTTGGAGTTTGAAAAAATGTGTCTTGCAGACTTTGCATCCAATTACCGTGTTGTGTACGGTCAACAAATTAAAGGAAAAAATGTCCTCCGACTGCTTCACGATATGGGATTTATTCAAAAGAGGACTATTGGCAAGCCTGCAGTTATCAGATATGCTCGCTTTTCAGAGGAGAAGCAACCAGAAAAATTTTATGGAAGAATGGTGAAACTTTACGTTCCCCATCGCCACAATGAAGAGCTGAAACCTGAGGATTTTCCCACATATCAGCTATTTTATAAAAGCGGATTTGTGGAACTTCCTGGACATCCTGGTCTCCGGTTCCCTGTCTGCGGCATAGTAAAGGCATACCAGCAGAGATATGAAAAGCATGGCAAAGTCGTAGATAAAGCATTTGAACAACTTCAGCAGGAAGGACCATCTGAGAGTGCTTGGACAGCTTTTGCACCAGAAGTTGAAGTGGATCGCCTGGAATGCATAGCTGAACAAGAAGACGTCGGTCCAGAGGAAGACGACGAACAGGATGAGGTCCCTGAATTCCAGCCTCGTAATGAAGATGGCGATGGAGTTGCACCGCGCATAGAGCCGCCACAGATGAGTGTCGAGTTTGTCAGGAAGCTCTTTAGGAGTTTAAACAAGACACAGGCAGCCATATTTTACACCATTCGGCAGTGGTGTCAGAACCGTGTGTGGGGACTGAATCCAGAACAGTTTTTTTACTTCGTGTCAGGTGGTGCTGGATGTGGAAAGTCGCACGTAATCAAGAGCGTATACACTGAAGCAACGAAGATTCTGCGACAACTTCCTCAGCTCCGGGAGGATGGGGATCTCTCCATTCCTACAGTGATTTTAAGTGCATTCACTGGAACAGCAGCGTTTAACATTTCTGGAAAAACTCTGCATTCCATTCTAAAGCTGCCAAGGAACTTGAAGCCACCCTATCAAGGACTTGGGAACTCTCTTGATGATGTACGAGCAGGATTACGTCACGTGGAAATCCTGATTATTGACGAAATCTCTATGATTTCAAAAGACTTTTTTGCATACATCAACTGGAGGTTTCAACAGATCAGAGGCAGCAAGAAACCCTTTGGGGGCATTTCTGTCATTGTGGTGGGAGACTTTTATCAATTACCGCCCCCGGGAAAAGCCAAGCCACTCTGCGTTTACGAAGAGGATGTGCTGGACTTTTGGAAGGACCACTTCCAAATCGTAACCCTCACGGAGATCATGCGGCAGAAAGAGGACCTTGCATTTGCCCAGCTTTTAAACCGATTGAGAGTGAAACGGAAATCTGATCCTCTTAAAGAAGAAGATAGATCTTTGTTATTGCAGGCTGTGAGGAATCCCCAAGACTGCCCACGTGATGCATTGCACATATTTGCAACCAACAAGGAAGTCCACAGTCACAATAGTGAGACGGTAAACGCTCTTCATGCTGACATCATAACCATTCATGCTGAAGATTACCGGAAAGACCCAAGAACAGGTGGGATGAAAAGACAGACTAAACCTGTCATGGGTAATAAAGACGACCTGCTTGACACCATACAAGTTGCAGTGGGAGTCCGCATAATGATGATAAGAAATCTGGATGTCGAAGATGGACTCGTCAATGGATGCTTTGGAAACATTAGAAACATTGTGACTAAAACAAGAGACGGAATTGCATTTGTGCACATGCTTGGCATTCAGCCCGACAATCCAAATGCTGGCCAGAAATACAGACGACGACTGCAAGGTGAACAGGACACTTTAGTCTACATCGAAAGATCAGAGGAACCTGTAAAGAAAAGAGCAGTCCGTCGACAATTTCCAATCAAGTTGGCCTACGCATGCACCGCTCATAAAGTTCAAGGCATGACCATGCAATCGGCTGTAGTGTCACTAAAAAAGATTTTTGAGCCAGGAATGGCCTACGTTGCCCTTAGCCGAACAACCTCACTTGGTGGTTTATACATCAGAGACTATGACGAGAAAAAGATCTATGCTGATCCGGAAATCACAACCTCGTTGGAGAGGATGAGAATGGCAACGCTGGAAGGCATCATGCCACTTTTCCACTGGAAGAAAACCAACACCACTCTGTTAGAAACACTTATCGTTGTGCATCATAACACAGAGGGACTCCAATCACATATAGAAGACATCAAACACCATCATGAGCTGCTTCTATGTGATATCTTTTGTGTTACGGAAACGCACCTCTCCGGATCATGCATCTCATCACATGTCCAGTTGGAAGGCTTTAAGATGTTTGCAAGAAATAGACATGCGTCTTACTCAACCCTTCCAGAAATGGCAAAGAAGGACTGTGGTGGAGTTGCAATTTATTGCAAAGAGGACATTCAGGCGGAACCTCGACACTTTATACACCACGTCACCGACCTGGAGTTTGTCGTCATCAAAGTTGATGCACCAGTGACTGCAACAATTGCTGCGGTGTACAGGCCACCAGACTATAGTCTGGAAAAATTTTTGCCAAACATCAGGGGCCTTCTTGATTATTTGGAAATGATGAAGGAGAATCCCATAATTGTCTGTGGAGACTTCAACGAAGACCACCTCTCGTCTGGAAGAAAGCCCATTCTGGAGTTGTTCCAATCCCAACAATACCAACAGCTCATCACCATGGCAACCACAGAGAAACAAACACTGTTGGATCATATTTATGTTTCTCATCCAGACTTGTGCATGCAGTCAGGTGTTTTACACACCTACTATAGCTATCACAATCCAGTGTATTGTGTTTTGCCTAAATAATTCAGCCAACAATCCAAATGCTGGCCAGAAATACATGCGCAACTGCAAGGTGAAGAGGACACTTAACTCTACATCGAAAGAGCAGAGGAAACTCTAAAGAAAGGAGCAGTTCGTCAACAATATCAAATCAAGATGGCTAACACATGCACAAAGTTCAAGGCATGGCCATGCAATCGGCTGTATTATCACTCAAGAAGATTATTGCCGGATTTGCTACCAACAAGGAAGTCCAGAGTCACAATGCTGAGATGGTAAACGCTCTTCATGCTGACATCATAACCATTGATGCTGAAGATTACCGAAAAGACCCAAGAACAGGAGGGATGAAAAAGCAAACTAACCCTGTGATGGGTAAAAAAGACAACCTGCTAGGCACCATACAAGTTGCATTGATTAGGAGTCTGCATAATGCTGATCAAAAATGTGGATGTCAAAGATGAACTTGTCAATGGATGCTTAGGAAACATTGTGACCAAAACAAAATACAGACTTGCATTTGTGCACATGCTTGGAAATCAGCCGACAATCCAAATGCTGGCCAGAAATACATACGACAACAACTGCAAGGTGAAGAGGACACTTTACATCAAAAGATCAGAGGAAACTCTAAAGAAAGAAGCAGTCTGTCAACAATTTTCAATCAAGATGGCTTACGCATGCACCACTCACAAAGTTCAAGGCATGACCATGCAATCGGCTGTCAAAAATCACAACCGCGTTGGAGAGGACAAAAAATGGCAACGCTGGAAGGCATCATGCTACTTTTTGACTGGAAAAAAAACCAACAACAGTCTGAAAGAAAAGCTTATCGTTGTGCATCATAAAGCAGAGGGACTCCCATCACATATAGAGGACATAAAACACCCATCACCAAACATCATGGGCCTACTTAATTATTTGGAAATGATGGAGAATCCCATAATTGTCTGTGGAGACTTCACCAAAGACCACCTCTTGTCTGGAAGAAAGCCCATTCTGGAGTTGTTCCAATCCCTACTATACAAACAGCTCATCTCCATGGCCACCACAAAGAAAACGAACATTGGCCTACGTCTTTGACATGAAGTCAGTGTGCCACACAGAACCGGGAGACAAAAGACCTGGATAGAGCCTGATTATCAGCCACTCGTCTTTTACTTGGTGGTGTGTGCACAGTTGCGTGAAGGCGGTGTGTCGTACCTGAGGTGGATGCTGTGTGATGAGAGTAGAGTAGGGTCAGCAGCAAGGGACATCAGGAGGATATTGTGGCATCTTCAAAGTTTACAAAGGGCAGTGACAGCAGCAACAGTTGGTGAGTAGTACAGTGGCTTTTTAAATGTTCCATTATTTTATGTCTTTCCTTTGTATTTGTGTTTGACATTTTGTACTGAATTTATGACTTGCAGTGGCGATGCTGGTTCGAGCCTCAGCTGGGTCAGTTGGTGTTTCTGTGTGGAAGATGCAAGAACAGGATGGATGAAAAAGCAAACTAACTCTGTCATGGGTAAAAGAAGACAACCTGCTAGGCACCATACAAGTTGCATTGATTGGGAGTCTGCATAATGCTGATCAAAAATGTGGATGTCAAAGATGAACTTGTCAATGGATGCTTAGGAAACATTGTGACCAAAACAAAATACAGACTTGCATTTGTGCACATGCTTGGAAATCAGCCGACAATCCAAATGCTGGCCAGAAATACATACGACAACAACTGCAAGGTGAAGAGGACACTTTACATCAAAAGATCAGAGGAAACTCTAAAGAAAGAAGCAGCCTGTCAACAATTTCCAATCAAGATGGCTTACGCATGCACCACTCTCAAAGTTCAAGGCATGACCATGCAATCGGCTGTCAAAAATCACAACCTCGTTGGAGAGGACAAAAAATGGCAACGCTGGAAGGCATCATGCTACTTTTTGACTGGAAAAAAACCAACAACAGTCTGAAAGAAAAGCTTATCGTTGTGCATCATAAAGCAGAGGGACTCCCATCACATATAGAGGACATAAAACACCCATCACCAAACATCATGGGCCTACCTAATTATTTGGAAATGATGGAGAATCCCATAATTGTCTGTGGAGACTTCACCAAAGACCACCTCTTGTCTGGAAGAAAGCCCATTCTGGAGTTGTTCCAATCCCTACTATACAAACAGCTCATCTCCATGGCCACCACAAAGAAAACGAACATTGGCCTACGTCTTTGACATGAAGTCAGTGTGCCACACAGAACCGGGAGACAAAAGACCTGGATAGAGCCTGATTATCAGCCACTCGTCTTTTACTTGGTGGTGTGTGCACAGTTGCGTGAAGGCGGTGTGTCGTACCTGAGGTGGATGCTGTGTGATGAGAGTAGAGTAGGGTCAGCAGCAAGGGACATCAGGAGGATATTGTGGCATCTTCAAAGTTTACAAAGGGCAGTGACAGCAGCAACAGTTGGTGAGTAGTACAGTGGCTTTTTAAATGTTCCATTATTTTATGTCTTTCCTTTGTATTTGTGTTTGACATTTTGTACTGAATTTATGACTTGCAGTGGCGATGCTGGTTCGAGCCTCAGCTGAGTCAGTTGGTGTTTCTGTGTGGAGTTTGCATGTTCTCCCTGCATTCGCGTGGGTTTCCTCCGGTTGCTTCAACTTCCCCCACAGTCCAAAGACACGCGGAACAGGTGAATTGGTATAGGTTAAATGGGCCTTTGTGTGTGTGTGTGTGTGCATGTGTGTGAATAAGTATGTCCAGATGTTTCCCAGAGATGGGTTGCGGCTGGAAGGTTGTCCGCTGTGTAAAAATGGGCTGGATAAGTTGGTGGTTCATTCTTCTGTGGCGACCCCGGATTAATAAAGAGACTAAGCCGACAATAAAATGCATGAATAAATTAATTATTTTATGTTTTCCTTTGTATTTGTGTTTGACATTTTGTTCTGAATTTATGACTTGCAGTGGCAACGCTGGTTCGAGCCTCGGCTGGGTCAGTTGGTGTTTCTATGTGGAGTTTGCATGTTCTCCCTGCGTTCGAGTGGGTTTCCTCCGGTTGCTTCGACTTCTTCAACAGTCTAAAGACACGCGGAACAGGTGAATTGGTATAGATTAAATTGGCCTTTGTGTGTGTGTGTGTGTGTGTGTGTGTGTGTGTGTGTGTGTGTGTGTGTGTGTGTGTGTGTGTGTGTAAAAAAGTATGTTCAGATATTTCCCAGAGATGGGTTGCGGCTGGAATGGCATCCGCTGCATAAAAACGTGCTGGATAAGTTGGCGGTTCATTCTGCAGTCGTAGCCCCAGATTAATAAAGCCGAAAAAATGAATGAATGTATGACTTACATTTTCTTTTATATTATTAATTTGTTACAGGCACAGCTTTAACACAACAGCAGCCTTTTCAAAGTGGACAGAATTCTTTGAGATTCAATCTAAAGCTAAGTATTTTGTTTCAGTTGTTTGTACTGCCTTGTAATACAGTCACATTTTCAGCATAATGTTAAATCTTAGTCTCATTCAAGTGTTGTGTTTTTTTTATGTTTTTACTACCAGAAGACCCAAGAAGATGTGTTGACTGAGAAAACAAATGTCCTGCAGTATTGTTGAGGAAGACATCTGCCTAACTATATATTGGTGAGCATGCTGTTAGGATCACGCCATTTTAATTGTAGTGTGTATGTGTACTAATATGTATTGAAATTATAAAACAAACCAGTTGTCATGTTACAAAAGATTCTATTTTAAATATTGTTTAAGCTTCCTACAAAAAGAAATGTAAAAAATAAATATTTCCACAAGTTAAGCTGCATAAACTAAGAGACATTATTAAGGAGGTTATTCACCTAAACATTTAAATTATCATTTACTGGAGTTGCTTGATTCTTGAACTCAAAATACTTGAAAAATAAAATAAATAAAAAGCTTTTAAAATCTTAAAAGTTATGGAAAAAAAGCTATTGACTTTCTTTGTATTTTCTTTGCATCACTATTATTGTTAATGGCTGTTCTAACTAGTGCTTGTGTATATAGTGTTCTTATTATTGATTCATCAATCTCATGGTTGTAGGAGAAGACCAGGTGTATGCGCACTACGGCATTGCAGAATGATGGACCAGAGGAAGAACATCTCTAATACAGAGGTATTCTGAAACAAGTGAGTTATGCCATTAAAAAAATTATATTTGCAATATTGTTTAAGCTTTCTCTAAAAGGAAACTTTTACAAAATATTTCCACAAATTAAGCTGCATAAACTTTGAGGCATTATTAAGGTGTTTATTCACCTAAACTTTTAAGTTGTCATTTACAGATAATCTACTCGTTTCAAATATGTCTGAGTTGCTTGCTTCTTGAACTCGAAATGCTTGAGAATGCAAAAAAAATTTTTAATGTTGTGGAAAAACAGCATTGACTTTCTTTGTATTTTTTGCATCCACTATGAATGTTAATGGCTGTTTTTTAATGGTGCTTGTGTATATAGTGTTCTTATTATTGATTTATTAATCTCATGGTTACAGGAGAAGACCAGGTGTTTGGCATTGCACACCACAGAATTGCAGGATGACGGACCAGAGGTATACTTTATTAGTACTTCTAGGAGAGTCTTGTGGTTCAGTGCATCTTGTCATAACTTGTGCTTTGTCTTTAAGAAGTATGGGCTTTGTAAATTTTAAAGTAAACCGTGATTCTCATTTTCTCTTTGTTCCTGAAGTATCCAAACAATCAAAATATATTTTTTTTACTAATAATTTTGTCACATCTGTTTTGCCTCCTCTTCCTCAGGATATACAGTCTGTGCATGCCAGATCCAGAGGCCAGATGGTGGAAGACGGTGTCCTGCAACATTTTAGATAATTTTAACGTTGTTTAAAAATGTTATTAGCTTATACATTTAAAAAATGTTATGTTATGTGCCACGCCCAAGAAAGATGGGTACTCCCTTGCTGAGTCTGGTCTTTCCAAGGTTTCTCTCCAAACTTTTTGGAGTTTTTTTCCTTGCCACAGTCGCCAATGGCTTGCTCACAGGGGGTGTTGTGCCAAGTCCTGTCTTCCCCTCGTGTCCTTTATCTTTAAACTTAGATTCCATAGTAATTTAGCCATACAAATGTTAATAAAAAGGAGCTTAAAATTAATTTAAAACAAGTAAAAATAGGCTTAAGAGTACAAATAAAGCTTAGTCAATCATATCATCACAATTTAGGATATTTATATGCAGCTTAGGTTTGAATATATTTGCCATTAATAAATACTAATGAGTAAAATGTTTGCACCATAAACTATTAATTGTTATAAATCAATGTAACTTTTTTTTTCTCAGATTAGAGCCGCAAATTATTTGCAGAAAGGGACAGTAGGTCAGGTAAAAATTGATTATCATCACATATGGCCAAAGTACATTTTTACTTTAAACAACGTAAAAAAAGAATAAAACCCATTAGCATTTAGATCAGTTTCTTAGGGCACTTTAATATTAATTAATTAATAATAATAATAATAATAACAACAAAACTTTTGTTTATAGCTGGCATGGTCTTTATTAAATAAACATTCCCAGCACCAATTTATAGCAAATAATCATGTCATTTTATTATTTTTAATTAAACTATGTTTAGCAGGGTGGTTGAACTGCAGATTTATTTATAAATTTAACTCTGCCACTGTACACAGTATGTGATAGTGCACTGAATGAGGTTTTAAATTAAAATCAACCATTTTAAATGCACATATATATATAATATTATATAATTTATTATAATATATAATTAATATAATATATTATAGTATAAAAATTAGTATAATTTACAATGATGTGTTTAAGAAAAACATCCATATTGGAATTAAACAGTCATTAGGTAGACTTTATTATTGCTCTATTGCTTAATTCATTATTCTAACATTTTAGTAGGTGTGACTGGGATCAGACTGGTGGACAGGATTTGGCACAACAGGCTTTTTTTTTAATCAATTTAATAAACAATTTGGTTTAATTGGCACAGTCAGCTTGTTTTGTCTTTTATTGAATGTCTGTCAATGCTACATCACTATTGACTTTAAGAAGCAAGTATTCAGTACTACAAATGCTAATTGCATATGTTAGATTAAGCACAGTCTACCTAAATGTGCTTTAACCTGTGCTATGCTGTAAGTATTAAGGTTTTAGGTGATGGTATGATTTATTTTTAAACATAACAGTTTTGCAATTGCATCTGATACACAGATGATTGTAAGATGCAAGTGGTTAAACAAATTTGGACCCATGTTGAAGTACAATATGTGAAGCGAAACAATGTTGCTACTTTACCAGTATTGTGGTTATCCTAGACACAACCATTTGTTATTGAACCATGGATGCAGAGCCACAATGGCTTGAGGACAGGTATGACTTTTGAAGGGTGATGACATCTTTAATTCACTGGCTTATTTTACATTTATAAATAAAATGTCTGACAACCAAAAATCCCTATAGACTTAACATGGACACAAAATGGCTGACATTGATATGGAGATTAGTAAGTCGTAGAAGCTTGAGACTGGGCTCATTTTACTCCGCCTATCAAGTTGGTATTAAGTAGCGACACAACAAGTTTGTAGACACTCCCTAGCAACCACTTTAGACAATCTAACAACCATATAACAACATAAACAAGCCATATTTTAGCACAGGAATATCGTAGAAAGAAAGGGTTTGGGTTCTTTTGATGCAGGCTGATCAAATCTCTATTGTCTTCACCTATTACAAAGGCGTTGCCACACCCTAGCAACCATTTACATTACCCTAGCAACCACATAAACACATGAATTTAACCATTTCTCCGCATTTACTGCTATTTTGCCCAGTTTAGAACCATTTTGTACCCCATCGATTTGCCACGCAAACCCCATTCACATTTCCTTTAGGAAATGTACAATTCTAGTTATTATTATTATTATAAACATATACTTGACCATAAATTAAAAGGATGGCCAGTTGCTGAAGCAAGAACACCAAGAGGTGGGGCAGAGAAACTGTATAAAATGTGCACAGAACACAAAATACATCAGAACTGTTCAGGAGAGACTTCAGATTGCTCTGATGTCTGCTCTGCACTTTCATGGCTTTATTATGTTGAATAAAGTCTATTTTCTGGTATCCAAAACTAGTCTAATCATGATCGTTGATTAATGAAAAGGCCGGTAACTACGACACTAATTGTTTTGAAGCTTATGAAATGTTGCAGACTTCAGAATTGTTTACATACTTGATTACACCAGAGCATAGAGAAAGCCACCAGTATTTGTTAGCAATGATTTAGAGTGTGGCATTGATACCAGGATGACCTGTGCTGGGAAGGTTGTGGGTTAGTTGACGAATTCTGTCTTTCAAATTGGTTGGTACATACAGATGTGGCTACTGAGAACACACATTTCTTCAAACGCAGAATCGCGCTGTGCTGCAGCAGCAAAGGCTGCCTTTTTATTTAAAAAAAGAAAAACACTTGTGCTTTACGCAATATCCACCAGGTGGCACAAGGAACAACCGCTTTTCCATTGTCGGGCCAGTGCGAGCCTAAAGTCCCAATTTCCATCTTTGAAATAATTGAATATAAAGGGGAAAATAAACATAGCTACTGGTCAGTTTAAGGTATTCCGTTAAACACATTATAGGTATTTTTGTTTAATAAACGGTTAGGTTTCCCTTTTAAATTTAAAGGTACTCCATAAAATAATAAGGTAGTTTTAATTTAATAAGTGATATTTCTTTGCTGCGACCTGCTTGATGTTTCAATAATGCAAAGTAATCTTTACACCACAATAAAGAGACACAGCAGCCAGTAAGTTTCAGTTGTCAAGTTTTTGTCAAGTTTAAATGATGTGTTTGTGCACGTTTAGATGCATGTATTTGTGTGTGAGAAACCAGGTAAAAGAGCATTCGATTCACAGCTCCGTCGATGCCACGAGTGGCTGGGTTTCTTTCTTTCTTTCTATTATTTTGGAGATAATATAAATACAACAGAAAGACATAAAACTTTACAAATTATGTGTCCACTTTTATAGGCTCAATACAACAGTGTCATATCTAAATAAAACAGTCTAAGCTTTACTGAAATTATTTAAAGAACTACAAATATCGGATATAATAAAATCACAATAAATAAATATACCAATATAGAACAAACAATACAATTAAAAAAATATAACAATTTACGTATATACAATACAAATAAGTTAAACTGTTTTAAGCCATTTTTAACTTTGATTTTACAAAGGCCTATCTAAAAATATATATATATATATATATATATATATATATATATATATATATATATATATATATATATATATATATATATATATATATATATATATATATATATATATATATATTTTAGATAATTTCTAAAAATAATAAACAACAGAGAAATTTTGAATGTTATTGATTAGGTATTTGGATACCAGGATATTAATCAAATTGTGCAAGCAGAGTATTTTTGGGTTAGTATAACCATCAGAAACTGCCTTATTTTCTGTAATCCAGTCTTGCAGCTTTGCTTTAAAAACTGATTGGGAAAAACTGCATGAAGAAAATGTTATATGGCCTCAAACAAATGTTTATGTTTTTATATTATGTGATAAAATTATCAAATGAAATTTTAAATGTAGAGCATTATTAGAAGGATATTTAATATTTTAAATCATAAATTAAAAAAGGTTTAGAAGGATATTTAATATTTTAAATATTCTATGTATTTTTTAATTATTATTATTAATGTAATTGTTTTGCTTTGGAGAGAACAGTTTAGATATGCCATTCTACAATTTTTAACAATCCATTTATCAAATGATAATTTTTTTCTTAAAACTAATATAGATTTTGGATGGCTTCTGGGCGCATCAATATAGGTTAGCCTATATTTTATTACTAGCTCTTATGTCCTGAAACACTTTTCCTTTTACTGAAATGGTTTCTTTTCCTTAAGATAACGGAATATTATGCAACATCTTTAAAGGAGACATATGGTGAAAAATCTACTTTACAAGCTGTTTGGACAGACATGTTTGGAAGTATTGTGTATAGACCGTCATATTGGGGTGATATAAACACACACAGTCCTTTGTTTTCAATTTTACAACAAAAAAAACAGTGGACCAATTGGAGGGGTTTTCAGACCGACCGCAACTTTACGTAGGAGTGCGGTCCCCCCGCCCACCAATATTGATTGACAGCCTCACGTCACAATCATATCCTCAGTTTCTTGTTGCATGTCCGCCATTTTTGGCGTGGGTTTCTGTCGGGGTACATGCGGCGGAGCTTCGGGTCAGCGGTTAGGCGCGGCGTGGGTTTCTGTCGGGGTGCATGCGGCGGAGCTTCGGGTCAGCGGCTCGGCGTGGCTTTCTGTCAGGGTGCACGCGGCAGAGCTTCTGATCTGCGGCTCGGCGTGGCTTTCTGTCGGGGTGCACGCAGCAGAGCTTCGGGTCAGCGGCTCGGCGCAGTGTGGGTTTCTGTCGGGGTGCACGCGGCGGAGCTTCGGGTCAGCGACTCGGGGCTGCGCCGTTGTGTTTGCCCTGGTGGAGGCTTGTGTTTGGACTTCTGGAATGCATGGCGCGACAATCCGGGACACTTCATGTTTCTGCCGTGTTCGGTGCATCAGTCAAAATTAATTCAGTGTGTGTGGTTATTAGCCTTGGTGTACAAGCTCAGCACTTGTACACCGAGACTATACAAAGACACAAATGATTTTGTACTCTCTGCTTGGTCTGTGTCCTACTCGTACATGAACGGCTGAATGCTCAGCCTAGCTTAGCTTAGCTTAGCTCTCTCTCTGTCTGTCAGCCTGTCTGTTGCAAACATAGGGAAGGAGCTCTTGGCTCCGCCCCCTTGTTACGTTGGGCGGGAAGCCGAAACTGTAAAGCAACACGCCCCTAAAACAGCAAACTGTGTAAACGCCCACAACATGACACTTTTAAACACACTATAATAAAAAAATCGGAACTGTGTGTTGAACTGAACCTAAATTAACACACTCAGAAGAATCATAATATTAATATTAAATCATAAAAAAGGGGTAAACTATGTGCCCTTTAAATTATTCTTTAGGAATGTTTGATGCCGTCTATCCAAACGAGGATGGACCACGGGCAAAGTGAAGGCTCGAAGATGCCCAACTTCTACATCTTTTCGATTTCTCCGCTGATAGCCAACCGGCGAGTTTCTGGCACTCGATGGGGCTTTTGCCGGACTGTGGTGCCAGGTGGAGTGATAATGTCATGTTGGGGGATTGACGTTCGGCCCAGTTTTTCACAGAATATATCCTTGAACAGACCAGCTAGGGCTTGAAGCTCCATCTTCTGGGCAGCTAAGAGCTGTTATTCTATATGGACCACTGGTGTATTCTCTTCCATAAAGGCCACCAGAGGGGCAGGGGATGCTATCCAGCACTTCATTAGATTAAAGTGGTAGAGCTGTTCTTTACGACTACGTCCCAGCTGATGTACTCGATAATTTACCATCCCCACCT